CTCACTAATGCTTCCTCTTCACCTTGGAAAGAAGTGACAAGTGGAGTGCCGCAGGGTTCCGTCCTGGGCCCGGTCCTGTTCAACATCTTTATTAATGACTTAGATGAAGGGCTAGAAGGCAGGATCATCAAGTTTGCAAACGACACCAAATTGGGAGGATAGCCAATACTCCAGAGGACAGGAGCAGGATTCAAAACGATCTTGACAGATTAGAGAGATGGGCCAAAACTAACAAAATGAAGTTCAACAGTGACAAATGCAAGATACTCCACTTTGGCAGGAAAAACGAATGCAAAGATACAAAATGGGGGACGCCTGGCTCGAGAGCAGTACGTGTGAAAAAGATCTTGGAGTCCTCATGGACAACAAGTTAAACATGAGCCAACAATGTGATGTGGTGGCAAAAAAAGCCAATGGGATTTTGGCCTGCATCAAGAGGAGCATAGTTTCTAAATCTAGGGAAGTCATGCTACCCATGCTCTATTCCGCTTTGGTTAGACCACACCTGGAATATTGTGTCCAATTCTGGTCACCACAATTCAAGAGAGATATTGACAAGCTGGAATGTGTCCAGAGGAGGGCGACTAAAATGATCAAGGGTCTGGAGAACAAGCCCTATGAGGAGCAGCTTAAGGAGCTGGGCATGTTTAGCCTGAAGAAGAGAAGGCTGAGAGGAGATATGATAGCCATGTATAAATATGTGAGAGGAAGCCACAGGGAGGAGGGAGCAAGCTTGTTTTCTGCTTCCGTGGAGACTAGGATGCGAAACAATGGCTTCAAACTACAAGAGAGGAGATTCCATCTGAACATGAGGAAGAACTTCCTGACTGTGAGAGCCGTTCAGCAGTGGAACTCTCTGCCCCGGAGTGTGGTGGAGGCTCCTTCTTTGGAAGCTTTTAAACAGAGGCTGGATGGCCATCTGTCAGGGGTGACTTGACTGCAATATTCCTGCTTCTTGGCAGGGGGTTGGACTGGATGGCCCATGAGGTCTCTTTCAACTCTATGATTCTATGATTCTAAAGACAGTTTCCAAATTCTGTATGTCATACTTCCTTATCAGTGGAAAGTGTCAAGATGTTTGAGGACAAGAATTGAAATATTCAGATTTCTTTTCCTCAAAAAACGTCCATGGCCAAGCAGAACTTTCCCTTCAACATAGCTCTATCTCCCTTTGGTCCTATGGCCATTTTCAGTTTTTTCCCTCTTAATCACAAAACCTTACTTTTAGTTGTAGAACTCTTAATTTCAGGGGTTTAATATTATCCTCGAAGACTGTTATTGTGTGCCTTCATGTCATGATCAGCTTAAAGTGATCCTATCACAGGGTTTCCTTGGCAAGTTTGTTCAGGAGGGGTTTGGCCTTTGCCATCCTTTGAGGCTGAGAGTGTAACTTCTCCAAAGTAACTGAGGATTTGAACCCTGGTCTTCAAGTCATAGTCCACTTTCTTCATGTTGCCTCTTTTTCCTATTCAGTACAGTTGATTTTTGAACCATCATTCTGTAGGCTTAGGCTTTAGATTTGCTGGTTCAAGGAGTTCCTGTTTAAGGAGCTCCATTGGCTGCCGTTCATCTTCCGGTCCCAATTCAAGGGGCAGGTGCTTACCCACAAAGCCCTAAATGGTTTGGGACCCGCCTACCTGCGTGACCGCATCTCTGTATACGAACTCTCCATCTAGGGAGGCCCTACTCACGATCCCACCTGTGTCGCAAGCGTGTTTGGTGGGGACGAGGGACAGAGCCTTCTCTGTGGTGGCCCCCCGACTCTGGAACTCTCTCCCCAAGGACATCAGACAAGCCCCAACGTTGGCAGTCTTTAGGAAGAGCTTGAAGACGTGGCTGTTCCAGTGTGCCTTCCCTGAATAGGAAACTCCTAGCATCATGTCCCAAATGCACTTTACTAGAGATTTAAGATTGTCTGCACACTGCATCTATCTCCGAAAACCTATCCATTTCATCTGTCATGTCCAGCATTTTTAAAAATTTTATCCATTACATTTGGCCCGGCCGCAGTTTTAAATGTGTCGTGGTGTTATTGTCTAATGTTTATTGCTATTGTTTTAATGTTATTGTTTTGCTTTATGAGTTTATTTATTGTTGTATTTGTTATACTGTTGTTTTATTGATGTGTTGGCCTTGGCCTCTTGTAAGCCGCACCAAGTCCTTCGGGAGATGTTAGCGGGGTATAAATAAAGTTAATAATAATAATAATAATAAGTTCATGTTGAAATTGTATCAAACCAGAGTTTCCTATTCTGAATTCCCTGATATAGATGTGACCAGAAACTCCTTCATAATATGAGTCATAATTGAAGTGATGAAAATGTGCATAAGGAGGGCTCAGCCTGACTTTTTGTTTTATTTTTATAATTGGTGGCTTATGAAACTTTGAAAAATCACCTGAACTGAGCTGTTAAACATATCTGTAATCCAGTATAAGAAATCTGTAAACAGTGTCACCAGTTCATGTGAAAATCCATTAGAAAGGACTTTAATCTTTATTCCTTAAATCAACACTTTATTTCCAGCTCTAGCACAATGTATGCCTGAGTTGTATATTGTTCACTAGGGGTCAGCAGTGTTGCACTGGAAAACTTGGTTCTAACTCCGGTTTGTATACTGCTGATGCAAAATAATGCAGAACAGTGAGTTATCCAAACAAAGTTCCTTTCTCTTGTGGGTTCATTTTCCTCTTGAGGGCTTATTTCTTTTGTTAAATATTCTAGTCAAACAGCTGAAATAATGGGCTCTGATGGGATTTGGCGCTACTGAAAAAGAATTTATATTTTGGACTGCTGTATCATTTGATGCCCAGAAAGGTTTGTGCAGCTCATCATTCAAGTTGTGTGCTCAGACAGAGTGTTATGCTGAACAATTGATACCGTTTCAACTGTTAGATATGTCAAAAACCGGAATGCCATTAGGCTTCCATCTCTGAATCTCCTGGGAATCTCTGATATGAATAGCTTTCCACTGTGCGTCAAACATTATGATCTGGCTATCTTTTGTTTTCCTTGCTAAAAGACATTGCAGGTTGAATATCCCATATCCTAAATGCTTGAGACCAGAAGTGTTTTGAATTTCAGATTTTTCTTTCCAATTTGGGAGTATTTGCATATACATAATGAGATAGCTTAGAAATGGGACCCAAGTTGAAACACAAAATTAGTTTATGTTTCATACATACCTTATACTCATAGCCTGAAGGTACTTTTATAGATAATAGTTTTAATAATTTTGTGCATTAAACAGAGTTTGTGTACATAAGAAAAATGAGGCCAGCTAGAGAGACAGAGATGGCATGGGGAAGGGGGAGGCAAGCAGGAAAGGAAAGGAGATGGCAGCTTTTGTCTTTTCCCCTTCCTTTTCATCCCCACGAAGATGTTAAGTTGAAACCAGCAAGGGAGAAAGGGATTAGGGCAACTGGAGAAGCAGAAGGAGCTCACAGAAGCAGTAACATCAAGCACCCCTTCATATTCTATGTCCATCCCCAAAAGAATATTAAGCGGAGGCCAGCTAAAGATAAGGGGACGGAAGCAGGGAAAAAGGTGGAGATCACAGAAGAAGCACAATCAGTCATCCACTTATCTTCTTCCCTGCTTTCTCCCCTTGAGATATTAAGCAGAGACGACTGTTGGGGTGATAGTGGGGAAAGAGGTGGAGATCTCAGTTTCATCCCCTTGGGCAGATGAAGTTGGAGGCAGGTGAACAGTTGGCAGAAGTTTGGTCACAGATGACATGCAGCATAGGTTGGAGAGGCCTGCTGGTGGGAAAGGAGATGGAGAGCAGGAGGAGGACAGCAAGGAGAACAACAGCAGTGCAGGAAAGTTTTGCTGGAGTGTCATCATGTTAGGGGGCAACGTAAGGAAGACTTCGAGATCAGTGCAAAGGCGGCTACCAACTTGCAAATAATCACATTTGTGAAAGAAATGTCTACTGAAGTTGATGTGTAGCTCCATACATTTCAAACAAATGTTACTCATTTTGTTTATTGCAGCCTGTCTTCCTATTTGAGCACATTTTGAAAATAGAACGTAACCACAAGAGCATACTGAACTGCATGCACATAGCAACAGATTAAAATAAAACATTACTGGTATAGCAGAGACAGAAAAATCAAGCAATATCTACAGCTTATGTAAAGTAAAATGCAGTGTGGAAAAAATCTACTGTGTGTTGGTTCTGTGGGCAAGTCATTCTTTGGTTTCCCAAACAAAACACAATATGTGCTCCAGGACAGATTATCTTCAATGGTTCACGTTTTTAAATGGTTCTTTATTTTTTCTCTAAGACTGAATAAATGTCTAGATACAATCATGTTTGATATCTCAAGTTTTGGGTGCAACTTCTCTGTATTAAAACTCTTCACTGGATTTCTTTTTTAAACTTTGCAGCTTTCTGAAGAAGAAAAGATTCAGCGTTACAGTATTCTTTCTGAGCTGTATGAGCGTATTGGATTTCATCGCAAATCTGCTTTTTTCAAGCGTGTGGCCGCAATGCAATGTGTGGCACCCAGCATAACTGAGCCTGGCTGGAGAGCTTGCTATAAACTCCTTCTGGAGACTCTTCCTGGTTACAGTCTATCTTTGGACCCTAAAGATTTCAGCAAAGGTACAGATGAACTGAGAGGGGAAATAAGCATCTGTTGTTATATGTCTTCAAGTTGACTTTGCCTTGTGGCGATCCTATCCTAGGGTTACCTAGGAATATTTATTCAGAGAAGATTTGCCCTATTTGTCTGCTAACAATGGGAAGGTGTGACTTGCACAAGTTCAGCCAGTGAGTTTCTATGGCTGAGGGGACTTATTTATTTATTTATTTACTATATTAATATACTTCTTTTGTCATCTCCAGAGGGAGTCAAGGCAGTTTACAACATACTAATGGCAAAAATTCAATGCTAACATACATGTAGACAGAAAAAATCATAAAAAATAACATGTCATTAAAACCATTAAACTATAGACATAAACAACATTTAAGCATTAAAAAAGCATTAAAAAACTAGTATAAATATTAAAATCACATAATCCAAAATTTGTACACCGTGATCATTCCCATTGTCATTGCACATATTTCCTAATTATTCTTTGCACTGCATTATTTTATTGGCCAAAGGCTTGGTCCCACAATCACATCTTAGTTTTCTTTCTACAGGCCAGGAGGGAGAACGTCTGGTCTATAGATCCTGATCTCACAGATTCTTATTGTTCACTCTCCTAAAGCATCATTACCATCTTAAAATTCACATTGTTTAGTGTTTTATGGGGTTAACTAAAATATGAATAGAAGTTAGTAGATTACAGATGAAATGGTGATCATCATCATCATTTTCTCCTTTCTGCAATATAGATATTCAATAATAATAATAATAATAATAATAATAATAATAATAATAATAGTAATAATTTGAAACACAAGATTAGTACACAGCAAACAAGGTCACTATACTGGCTGTTGTATTGGATCACACGTCGGACATTTCCCAAGTGTCTAGGAGTGTGTGATGTATCGGTGAATAATGCGTGTAAATCCAAGTAGGGTGGCTTTTCGCAGCTGACAGATGGTAATTTTGTCAGCACCAATTGTGTTTAAGTGCAGTCCAAGGTCTTTAGGCACTGCACCCAATGTGCCGATCACCACTGGGACCACCTTTACTGGCTTGCGCCAGAGTCTTTGCAGTTCGATCTTTAAATCCTTGTATCGTGTCAGCTTTTTCAGTTGTTTCTGGGATTGCAACATCGATGATCTGTACTTTGTTTTGTAACACGATCGTGAGGTCAGGAGTATTGTGCTCCAAAATTATTATTATTATTATTATTATTATTATTATTATTATTATTATTAGATACACAACAAGATTAGTACACAGCAAACAAGTTCACTATGCTGGCTTTTGTGTTGGATCACATGTCGGACACTTTCTAAGTGCCTAGGACTATATGTTGTATCGGCAAATAATGCGTACAGATCCGAGTAAGGTGGTCTTTTGCAGTTAATAGATGGTGATTTTGTCAGCACTTATTGTTTTAAGTGCTGTATTATTATTATTATTATTATTATTATTTATTTATTTATACCCACTTTTTCTCTCCACAATGAGATTTCAAGATCACTTATTAAAAGTAATATGCTGATTAAAAATGTACAAATACGTCAGTATGTGTCTCCATCTCTCTCTAAGTATAAACACATAGTTATATAATCCGTAATGCTAAACGTCTTTAAAATGAATTAATAGTTGGGTCTTTGAAAAGTTTAACAAAACAGTGCACAATTAAAAGCCTTCAAAAGTCAATAAATAAACAAACATCCTAGTATATATCAAAATGTTACTTTTAAATTGTCATTTTAAAAAATACCTCAAAATAGCTGGTTATACAGGTGTTTGTAGGGAGGAATCATGATGTGAAACCCGGTAATGGGAAAGATGCGTATTATGGGTGCACTTTAATGTTGATAAAAGGCTATGATTCAATTTCTATTTTCTGAGAATGTTGCAGATTTATATAATAAAATCCATTTGTGTATTAACGTTCCAAGAAGCCTAGTACAAAAGAGTCTTTCATTCAATAGTATCAGCTCTTTTTCTTGAGTAAAGATGGTCCAATTTTTAAAAGTCCTTACTATATAAACACATCTGAAGAAGATTACCTTTAAAATGTTTAATAGTTTGTTCAAACACTTTTATGGTATTGAGACATTTTTGTTTCCGTCGTGTGCCTTCAAGTCATTTTTGTCTTATAGAGACCCAAAGAAGATATCATGGGGGTATCTGAGGCTGTGAGGTTGTTATCCAGTGGATTTCAGTGGCTAAGCAGGGATTTAACCTTGGTCTCCAAATTTATAGTTCAGTACTCAAATGACTACACCACATGCTTGGTCCAGAATTATTTGTGCTGTTGGAAGCGCAGGGAAGAGCAGGAAGAGCAAGGCCGGCGGCTCCTCTTCGGGCCTGCCAGCGGCCCAACGTCGCCCAACATCATCGTTCCTCCAGCTGGGCTTCTATCAGCTTGGCCCACACCAGACGCCAGACCTCTACTGCTCGGGCCGTACCAGACGGGCCGCTGTACTGCGAGGGCTATTTGAATCGGGCTCTGGGCCACCTGAGCCGGGCCCTGGCCGCTTGGGCCTCCACCATCTTTAACATTTGGGCCGCTTCCATCTGGGCAAGTCGCGTGGAGACCTTTGTGCTGCCCTTTTGTGTAGACCGGTAGTGTGTAGACCTTTTATGTTGACCTTTCTCGGTGCTGACTGACACTGTGATAGACCATTTGTGCTGACCGCCGCTGTGTTAACCATCTCCGGAAGACTGAGAGGCCCATCCGCTACTTTACATCAGTCGTCCATAGATTACATCTTGAATCATAACCTTACCATTACTGCCAATCTCCTTAAGTCTGTGTTTACATATTGCCAACATAGCACGTTCCTGCCTGTTTTGCTGCTAATTGATACTAAGAACGCAATATAGCACTTTAAGGCGCCTGCCTCTCTTGCTGCTAAATCGTACTTGCTGCTAAATCGTACTAGCACTTACGCTCCCTTCCCCCACTCCTCCATGCCGCACTTTATGTAGCGCTGAGGGCCAGACTTGGGTTCTGTTGCACTTTAAAATCTTTGCACTTTATGAATCGCCCCAGTGGCACGCAGCTGTGACGTCTATTGTGTCGCACTTTATTATACCTATCATTTTCAACCTTACTGAAGTGTACTGTTATCACTCATGTGGTTCCCCATCCCCCTATTTGTACTGTCCTTGTTACTGGTGACTAGTGGAAGGGGCAAGGGAGGAAGTGGGCTGGAGCCCGTGGATAACAATGAGGTGGGGAGGGGGGAGAAAGAGAATCAAGGTAATTGGCATGGAAAAACGCCAACAAACCAAACAACTAGTGAAACAGAGACTAAGACCTTGGTTTCGGATTGCGGCATGGAGGAGGGGAGGTGTTCCACTAGCCGAGGGGCCCCCATAGAGGTCGTGGTGGGAAGGAGGAGATGCGGAAAAAGGAGACCTCGAATTCGGCTTAATTCGGACCGCTTATCAAAATTAGTAATCCCAAATCGGTCTCCTAAGGTAAATTGGTGTAACCAGGTGAGCGGGCCCTCTGGATTGAAGGTGGTGCTGCTGAACGCCAGATCTGTCAACGGAAAAACGACCTTTATCCAGGATCTAATCCTGGATGAGCGGGCAGATCTGGCGTGCATTACGGAGACCTGGTTGGAGGAAGCTGGAGGAGTGAACCTCACCCAGCTCTGTCCCCCAGGCTTCTCCGTACAGCATCAACCGAGATCCGGAGGACGGGGAGGCGGGGTTGCAGTAGTCTATAGAGATTCCATCCATCTGACCAGGAGTCCCATCCCGCAGACCACAAATTTTGAATGCGTCCACCTGAGGGTGGGTGACCGGGACAGAATAGGGATTCTGTTAGTGTACCGTCCACCTCGCTGCACTACAGTCTCCCTACCTGAGCTAGCGGGGGTAGTCTCGAGCCTGGCGTTGGAGTCTCAACGGCTTCTTGTGCTTGGGGACTTCAATATCCATGCCGAGGCGACCCTCACAGGAGCGGCTCAGGACTTCATGTCTGCCATGGCAACCATGGGGCTGTCCCAACAAATATCTGGCCCCACCCACTGTGCTGGACATACATTGGACTTGGTTTTCTGCCAGGGATGGGAGCAGGGTGGCGGTGTGGAGGAGTTGTCCATCTCTCCGTTGCCATGGACTGACCACTTCCTGATCAGATTTAGGCTCACTGCACCCCCCAACCTCTGCAAAGGTGGAGGACCCATTAAGTTGGTCCGCCCCAGGAGGCTTATGGATCCGAATGGATTCCTGACGGCTCTTGGGGATTTTCCCGCCACCTCGGTAGGTGACCATGTCGAGGCCTTGGTCGCTCTCTGGAATGGGAGATGGCCAGGGCAATTGACATGATCGCTCCGGAACGTCCCCTCTCAAGTAGCCGAGCTAAACCAGCTCCTGGGTTTACTGAGGAGCTGGCAGTGATGAAGCGAAGGAAGAGGGAACTAGAGAGCTTGTGGCGTTCGGATCCAAGCGAGTCAAACCGAGCACGGTTTGTGTCCTTCTTAAGGGCATATGCCGCGGCAATAAAAGCCGCAAAGAAAACTTTCTTTGCGGCCACTATTGCGTCTGCAAAAAACCGTCCGGCGGAGTTGTTCCGGATTGTCCGAGGTCTTTTAACTCCCGCCACCTCAGGCGGGAGCCCTGACAATTCGGTCACGCGCTGCGAAGCATTTGCTCGGTTCTTCACAGACAAAGTCGCCTTGATCCGTTGGGGCTGGACACCATGTTAAATGCAGTCTCTGAGGATGTGACACGAGCACCTGCTTGTCCTATTTTGATGGATTCCTTTCAGTTTGTGAAACCCGAGGATGTGGACAAGATACTTGGAGGAATGAGGCCCACCACGTCCATCCTAGACCCCTGCCCATCCTGGCTTCTGAAGGAGGCCAGAGGGGGATTGGCTGAGTGGGTAACGGTGGTGGTTAATGCCTCCCTTCGGGAAGGCAAGATTCCAGCGTGCTTAAAACAAGCAATTATAAAACCGCTGTTGAAGAAACCATCACTGGACCCCACTAAATTTGACAACTTTCGGCCTGTTTCCAATCTTCCCTTTTTGGGCAAAGTCATGGAAAGCGTGGTGGCCTCACAACTCCAGGTATTCTTGAGAGACACGGATAGTCTGGATCCGGCACAGTCTGGTTTCAGACCGGGACATGGTACCGAGACGGTCTTGGTCGCCTTAGTGGATGATCTGCGCCGGGAGCTAGACAGGGGGAGTGTGTCCCTGTTGGTGCTCCTGGACCTCTCAGCGGCCTTCGATACCGTCGACCACGGTATCCTTCTGAGGCGCCTTGCGGAGATGGGGCTTGGGGGCACTGCTCTGCAGTGGCTCCAGTCATTTCTGGAGGGTCGTACTCAGAAGGTGTTATTGGGGGACTCCTGTTCGACACCACAGCCTTTGACCTGTGGGGTTCCACAGGGTTCTATACTGTCCCCCATGTTGTTTAATATCTACATGAAGCCGCTGGGTGAGATCATCCGGAGTTTCGGGGTGCGGTGTCATCTGTACGCAGATGATGTCCAACTCTGTCACTCCTTTCCACCTGCTACTAAGGAGGCTGTCGAAGTCCTGAACCGGTGCCTGGCCGCTGTAATGGTCTGGATGAGGGCGAACAAACTGAAATTAAATCCAGACAAGACAGAGGTACTCCTGGTCAGTCGCAAGGCCGAACAGGGTATAGGGTTACAGCCTGTGCTGGACGGGGTCGCACTCCCCTTGAAGGCGCAGGTTCGCAGCTTGGGTGTGACCCTGGATTCATCTTTGAGCCTGGATCCCCAGGTTTCAGGGGTGACCAGGGGAGCATTTGCACAGCTTCGGCTTGTGCGCCAGCTGCGCCCGTATCTTGGGAAGTCTGACTTGGCCACGGTGGTACACGCTCTGGTCACATCCCGCCTTGACTACTGCAACGCTCTCTACGTGGGGCTGCCCTTGAAGATGGCCCGGAAGCTTCAGCTAGTCCAGCGCGCGGCAGCCATGTTACTAACGGGAGCGGGACGCAGGGAGCACACAACGCCCTTGTTGTCCCAGCTCCACTGGCTGCCGATCTGCTACCGGGCCCAATTCAAGGTGCTGGTGTTATCCTACAAAGCCCTAAACGGTTCCGGCCCAAAATACCTTTCGGACCGCATCTCGGCCTATGAGCCCACGAGGACCTTGAGATCGTCTGGGGAGGCCCTTCTCTCGATCCCGCCTGCCTCACAGGCACGTCTGGCGGGGACGAGGGAAAGGGCCTTCTCGGTGGTGGCCCCCCGGCTGTGGAACACCCTCCCTATTGACATCAGACAGGCGCCCTCCCTTATGGCCTTCCGTAAGAGCCTAAAGACCTGGCTATTTGAAAAGGCATTTAATTGAGTGCTATACAAGCTGGTAATGACAACTGGAACGGAATACGGACTATGAGATTGGCTATGATTCTATGTGTGACGATGCGGATTAGTTTAGTGTAAATTAGTTTAGTGTGTAATAGTGAAATGTTGATTTTGTTGTGCTTTATTGTATACTGTTTTTATATGTTGTACACCGCCGCGAGTCGCCCTTGGGCTGAGAGCGGCGGTTAACAAATGCAGTAAATAAATAAATAAATAAATAAATAAGAGTAGAGACATCACACTGACAAGGAAGATCCTCATAGTTAAAGCAATGGTATTCCCCGTAGTAACCTATAGATGCGAGAGCTGGACCATAAGGAAGGCTGAGCGAAGGAAGATAGACGCTTTTGAACTGTGATGCTGGAGGAAAATTCTGAGAGTGCTTTGGACTGCGAGAAGATCCAACCAGTCCATAGTTCCAGGAAATAATGCCCAACTGCTCACAGGAGAGAAGGATATTAGAGGCAAAGGTGAAATACTTTGGACACATAACCAAAAGACAAGAAAGCTTGGAGAAGATAATGATGCTGGAGAAAATGGAAGGAAAAAGGAAGAGGGGATGACCAAAGGCAAGGTGGAGGGATGGTATCTTTGAAGTGACTGGCTTGACCTTGAAGGAGCTGGAGGTGGCAGTGGCCGACGAAGTTCTGGCGAGGGCTGGTCCATGAGGTCACAAAGAGTTGGAAGTAACTGAATGAATAAACAATAACAAAACTTTGCAAGCTCTGGACTCTCAAGAACCTGCTTTGGTGAGTTCTTCAAAATAGTCCAGGAGTAGGGCTTCAGGAGAAGAGGGAATGGATAAAGGTCTTCTCCCTCCTCCTGCCAGCAGGATTCCTCTGCTGCATCAAAAGCCTGCTGTGGATAGAAGAAACTCTTGTCCTTGTGGGAAGCAAAGTTTTGATCCAACATGATTTGGGATTTGACTAATGAGTTTCTAAGTCCTGTTTTCAGAGAATCATAATGAAGTGATTGCCGTTTAGCTTGAATGACTAAATTAAGTCATAATGATATAGTAATGACTAGAAAAGGTTTGAGAGAAAACATGTCTTGGAATTCAAGAACATTAATAAACATCTGACTGATTATTATGATTTGTGTTCTGCACTGCATTGTAATTTAGCTGATGAATGGAAAATATTAAACTGATTTTTCCAGATGGCAAAAAGTTGTTTACTGGGTTAAAAATATATTCTGATGTACTATAGCACAAAAAGGGTGGATTGTGCAGGATGAGTTGGAGGTTTATGTAGAATTTTGATATTTCAGTTAAACTGAAGTCCCTTAAACTCAGCACCAGTATTATGTACCTTCCAACATTTCACAGGTGAAAAAAGGGATATGTATGCATGAACAAAACTAGAATGTGGGCATGTTTGTGAATGCTATTAATGAGGATGAACATACACGCTAGAAGAGGCTGCAGCAATTGGCTTTTGCCTGAATCTGTTGGTAAAGGCAAGCCTTCACCCTCACCTGTTCTACCTGTGTTGTTGTACAGGTATGAGATATTAACAGCAGAGATCTTAAGAGTATTGAGACGCTTTTAAAAAACTTTCTAAAGGTAAATGTTTTGAGAGGCACCATGGATGTTATACTTGATGAGCTGCCTCCAGGGCCGCAGTGAAACTTTCCATCACAGGATGCTTTTCTGTGAAATTGGGTATAGCAGATGAATCACTTTCTGTGTACTGCAGCAATGTTCTCCATTTGTGTGGGCTTTAGACTTATGTAAAAATCCTCTTCAAGTGATGTATTAAAAGGTGTTGTTCACTGAATGGTGATTTCTGTTCAGTTTGGGGATTTTATTAATATGACCAATGTTCTTGACTTTTTAAAGGAACCCATCGCGGTTGGGCTGCTGTACAGATGCGTCTGCTTCATGAATTAGTGTATGCCTCTAGAAGAATGGGAAACCCAGCACTTTCTGTTCGACACTTATCCTTTCTCTTGCAAACAATGTTGGATTTTCTTTCAGATCAAGGTACTTTTAAAATGAAAAGCATATTTTATAGTATATATAGATGATATTAAAAGATGTGCCTTCAAGTTGCCTGTCGATCAATGAAGATTTTTTAAAGTATGGAATTCCCATGGCAGTTCCTTTCTCTGAAAATATACTGTACATTCTTGTAAGAGTCAACCTCATGTATAAGTTTTGGGACCAAAACTATGGATTTTGATTTGACCTGTAAATAAGTCAAGGATCATTCTTCACACGGGAAAGCACCAGGGGCGGCTTCCGTAGGGGGCCATCCACCCCTGTCCACTGCTACTATTTCCTCACCTATTTATTCAGAAAGACAAAAGTGAAGAGAGTAGAATGGGTTGGTGCTTCTTTTAGGTTTTTCCGGAATGAACTAAGCCAGGCACCCTCAAACTCTGGCCCTTTAGCTGTTTTGGCATCCAACTCCAAGAAGCCTAGCCAGCTTGGCCAGTGGTCAGGAATTCTGAGAGTTGGGGGCCCAAACAGCTGGAGGGCCACATTTTGAGGATGCCTGGACTAAGCTCTCACCTTTCACCATCTATTAAGAGAAGCAGATGGTTCCTTTTTTGAAAACAGTTAAAACATGAACAAATTCCTATGAATATTAAACACATCTTATTTGTAGTGCAAAAACAATAAAATAATAATACAATGTTTAAAATGAAAAATAATTTTAACCAGCATGAACTTACCAGTATTTAAATTTAAAGTGTGGGACTGCTTTTGGCTAATGAGATAGTCAAGTCAATTAGGATTGTTGTTATTGTGTGTTTTCAAGTCGTTTCATACTTAGGGCGACCCTAAGCCTAACTAAATTTAGGGTGGGGGACAGTGAAATTATCTTGGAGGGCCGCATCTAGCCTGTGGGACTTTAGTTGGGGGACTCCTGTTCAAGACTTTCGCATGAATATATGCTACTGTTTACAGCAGCTGGTATTTAATGGTGATGTCTCATCCAAATACTAACTATGGACCTTGCCGCTGCTGGCAAAAAGGCCGCTATGCAGGGCACCTTGTGGCACTCTGCACACTCTCCTTCCTTTCCCCATCACATAGTGGGGATGGGACTAGGCATGTTGCCGCTCTGTCCCTATCATATGGGTGAAAAGGCCACATTGCCGTTTCCCCCATCAGATGGAGGAAAGGGCAATGAAGTGCGTAGCTACCCAAAATCCACTTTCCTCTCAGAGCTGGCAAATGTCTTGAGATGCTTCACCTCCACATTGGGAGGAATAGGGGCGGGGCCAAACCAGCGTCATCTGATGGTGCTCAGCAGGCCTCATCCAAAAGAAGAAAAAGGGACCAAAACACCCCAATGTGATGAGGTTTTAGGGCTGACCCTGCTTGGCTTCCAAGATCACATGGTATCTAGTACCTATAAGGTATTTAGCGACCAAAATGCAGCAAAGAATTTGCATAGAGCAGCACTGACTCTGTTGATGGCATTCAGAGCCCTAAATGGTTTGAGACCTTGATTCTTGAAGACGGACCTCTTCCTAATAATACTTGTATGAGGACTGGGGTTTGCAGGAAGAACTGTTCTTTTTATTCCCATCAGTCAGGAGCTATGGGAAAACATGGGAGAGGACATTTTCGTAGGAAGCGCCCTGTTGTGGAAGACTTTTTTTCCTTAAGAGCCTGTATGTTTCCACCAGTGGTGTCCTACCAATGGCAAGTAAGAACATAGCTGTATGGAGTTGATTTGATTTGATTCAGATTTTGTCTCTCTCTCTCTCTCTCTCTCTCTCTCTCTTTCTTTTTCTTTCTTTCTTTCTTTCATGCCATAACTGTACATGGCACTTTACAAATCAAAGAAGAACTGTCCTCAGGTTTATAATCGAAGACGTGCTATAGAAGGAATAGGGGGTGATGTTATGTAAAGAGATTAAGTCCAGCAGATACCACTGCTACTTCTTTCTCTCGGTGGTCAGCGCGGTGGCAATTGAGATGGAGAGAGACTTTCTGTGTCTATGTTATTTGGATGCATTATAGTTTTATAATGTTTTAAAATAACATATTCTAAGTATCTTATTTTAGCTGTGTTCAAATAATTTTTAACCTGTACAGACAGTCCCCAAGTTACAAACATCAAACTTACAAAAGGCCCTTAGTTAAGAATGGGAGACAACAGGAAGTGAGAGAAACCTACTCCTCAAAAGGGAAATTCAGTCCTGAAAGCATTATTATCCACTGATATTATCCAAGGTATCTCCACTGAAACTTTATCCCCAGTCCTTGTTTCCACAACAAATTCAAATTCAATTATCACAGGGATAGAAATTGAGGTGAAATATTTTGAACAGGGGCACAGACAAAAAATAATCACATTGGCACTCAACCTGTCTTTAGAACAGTCATGAGCCAATTTCGGTCCTCCAGGTGTTTTGGACTTCAACTCCCACAATTCCCAACAGCCTACTGGCTGTTAGGAATTGTGGGAGTTGAAGCCCAAAACACCTGGAGGGCCAAAGTTTGCCCATGACTGCTTTAGAGGGCTGTAAAGCTGGTGCGATTCTTAATTTTATGAACCCAGTATTTTTTAAATTGAGTTTATTGTTCCAGTGACAATATTTTTTGAAGTTACGAATGTTTTAAGTATTTTGTTAATGTTTAGCTTTCAATTTTAGCACTCCATTTTATCTTTGCTTTGGTTTATTGGTTGCTTTGAAATGGTAATGTCTATTGTTTTATACATTTAGAAGTCTTTTATGTGGGACATAAACATATTCATTCCAGTTAGTCAATAAGAATGTCTTGCTTAGTGACATGGCAGAAGGAAGTTATTACTGTTTGAAAGGAAATGACAAGCCCCGCCTTCTCAAAATCACTTGTTAAGTTCAATGAGTTGTCGCAATATATGGCATCCTTATGAATAATTTCTGTAAAATTTGCGTATATTCTATCTAAATGACAAGAAATTCAGATATGTGGAAAGGACCCAATGAGGTTATTCTGCTGACAGTTCGCTTTCCATTAAGTTATCTAATAGTGGAATAATTTTCCCATTTTCCATGCAACTCTTCAGAGAAGGTTTTCCAGAAGCATGAAAAAATCATTGGAGAAGTTAGGAAGAAACTGCTGTTGCACTAGTAGGTTCTGCTTTCAGGCTATATTTTTCTGTTCTAAGAGATTTACAGTTTCTGAGGAACCTTATTAATAAAGATTAATAAGTCTAAGTATGAAATAAGCTTAACTATGGTACGACGTGACCTGTGGAATGGGCCGGGCTATAGCACAGCAGGTTAACCACCAGATACAGTAAATCTTGCCAATCAAAAGGGTGACAGTTGGAAGCCTAGGTCAGGGTGAGCTCCTGGCCTTTAGCCCAGCATCTGCCTATTGTTTATTTATTTAAAGCATTTATATTCTGCCCTACTAAGCCTGAAGGGGACTCAGAGCGGAGCATAACATATAAATGCCAAACATTCAATGCCGGGACATAAATAGACTATACACACACATAAACATTAAAATCATTTATCTCGACATTAAAATCCACTGTTTAAAACCGTCTCAATCATCCACATCGAATCAGGCTGGCATGGTAAGGTTTCTTATTGCTGCCTTATTGCACTGTCCCAAAGGCTTGGTCCCACAGCCAAGTTTTTACCATTCTTCTGAAGGACAGGAGGGAGGGCGCTGATCTAATCTCACCAGGAAGGGAGTTCTATAGCTGAGAAGGCCTACCTAGCAGTTTGAAAGCAAAATGTGAGTTGATAAATAGGTACCGCTTAAAAGTGGGAAGGTATTTAAGGCATGTTTAGCCTGAAGAAGAGAAGGATGAGAGGAGATATGATAGCCATGTATAAATATGTGAGAGGAAGCCACAGGGAGGAGGAGGGAGCAAGCTTGTTTTGTGCTTCCTTGGAGACTAGGACGCAATGGAACAATGGCTTCAAACTACAAGAGAGGAGATTCCATCTGAACATGAGGAAGAACTTCCTGACTGTGAGAGCCGTTCAGCAGTGGAACTCTCTGCCCCGATTGTGGTGGAGGCTCCTTCTTTGGAAGCTTTTAAACAGAGGCTGGATGGCCATCTGTCAGGGGTGATTTGAATGCAATATTCCTGCTTCTTGGCAGGGGGTTGGACTGGATGGCCCATGAGGTCTCTTCCAACTCTTTGATTCTATGATTCTTTAAGGCACCCATAAGGAAATGCCGACAATTCGATCAAGGAGGAAGTTTACGAACAAAGCTCTTTGGCAGCATCCCTTCCCCCCCCTCTGATGGCAGGAACCGAGCACAAGCCTCCAAGATGTCGAAGATGGGAAAAGCCTATATATACACCACTATCTATGTATAATTGTCTGTCTTGTCAGTGTGTAAATGGCATTGAATGTTTGCCATATATGTGTTCTGTGATCCACCCTGAATCCCCTTTCGGGGTGAGAAGGGCAGAATTAAAATGCTGTAAATAAATAATATGGCAAATGTTTAGTAATTATCTAGCCAAGAAAACTTCATTTGAAGGCATTTGCAAATCATGGTTTGAACTTAAAATGATTTGACCTGGCATCACTGTTACTTATGGATGTGTGAAACTGAATGTTGAGATGAATGATGGCAGAGAGACGTTTTCAAACGAATAGCCGCCTGTACATTTGGATGCTTGAACTGGAGACAGTACAAGGCATGTTTTTGTGGGAAAGAACAGATGGCTGTTGAAATTAGTATCTTGTGGCAAATAAAGTATGTTCTCATAAATATCTTGTATTATGGCCATGCCATGTAGCCCTACAGTGGTATTGGCTTCATTCATTCATTCATTCATTGATCCCTCTCATTCATTTATATTACCATAAATAAAACTCACTTGACATGAGAAATTCATGAGATTTTCTCGTCCATTCTGTCAAAATGCTTGAATTGTTTTCTTGGAGGGTGCTTTCTTGAAAGAAAAATAGACATTGGGAAAATGAAATATTAGAAGACTAAAAGGATCAAATGCATAACAACTTTCTAGACAATCACAACACAGAGATAGATAAAAATTATGATTTGAAAGACTAGTGCATTCATAAAACTCTAAATAGAAGCAACCAAATGCTCTTTTACAGACATAAGTGAAGGTATGGTCAGGATTCCTATACTGTGATTAATGTTTTTGTGATTCACTGGTATAATATTGGACTACTTCATTTCAAGACACTGCAAATTGTTACATTTTTTATAAATTTTCTTAAAGGAAGAATTCAAAACTTTTGTTCTGTTATCAGAACTGTTTCTATCACCTGAAAAGATACATGAATACTTTTCCGTCTGCCGTTCAAGAGTGAGTGCCTTCAAAACCTGGTCTAGAGGATTGGATACCATCTGGATTTTGAGTGATGTCAGGATTTTGAGTGAGGGAGGGGAGGTAAAGAAAGTCTCATTGTCGCATGAGATTTCTGTTAACACAATCGTGCAATGAGATGTAATTGGGGAAGTCAGGTTTTCCTTAGTTCAACAATAGTGGACTTGGCTGATGTGTGACTAGAGAGACTGGAATTACGGATTGAGCATAGGGCAAATCTAGACTTTGAAGCCAGTTCATGGGCGGCGTGTCCACAAAACATGCATGCCCAATGCACGCTGCAGGACGCATCTAGCCAGAAATTCATCAGGAAGTCCAGAACAAGCCTAATAATGCACTGCAGCCAATCAGAATATATGCCACAGAGGGCTCAAAACCAGGATATACTCTAGATCAGTGGTTCTCAACCTGGGGTCCTCAGATGTTTTTAGCCTTCAACTCCCAGCTGGTAAACTGGCTAGGATTTCTGGGAGATGTAGGCCAAAAACATCTGGGGACCCCAGGTTGAGAACCACTGCTCTAGATTGTCTGCACCACATCTGTGTACTTCAGCGGATTGGATAAGAACCCCCCCCCCCCAAATTTTCCTGCTGCTGTCTAGCCATAGATACTGCGGTTCCTGGATCTAGTTTAGGTCCACTTTGAGCCGATTCTTGGGGTATTTTTGTGGGTGCTATACAGTGAAATCAGTTCTTTTTCATCCACTTCCAAACTGGATTACAAGTGTCTGTGTAGAACACCTCTTAGTGTGGGAAATTCAGGTTCAGCTCATCACCTCTGTTTTTACTTGTTGCTTCCTTCAGTATCCATCTATTCTTACCAAGCTTTTTGGCTTGGTCCAAGCAAAGACTGAAACTCCTGAATTATTTTTCCATTCACATAATGATCAGACCTAGTGACTTTGCCAAACCCATGGATTGAAAAAGACAGTGTCATTTTATACACTACTACAACAATTCAGAGAACTGTCTTTAAATGCCTTTATCTCAGGCTTTGCAGCTCTCCTCAAGTACATTCTGAAATGTAATTTTGATACATTTAGTTAATGATGTGAGCCCTCATCTTTTTTCATAACTGGTATTGGAGAAGGACACGAAGGTTAGTGAAGTGGATCATTTTTCAGATAATGCTACAGGAAAATTTCTATCACTGGAAATGTTTCCCGGCCAGATTGAGGTTTCATTTTTCAATTTAGTAGTTAACAGCTATTTGAATTTGCCACTGAATTACACAAATTACATCTATCTATCTATCTATCTATCTATCTATCTATCTATCTATCTATCTATCTATCATTTAAACTTTTAATCATATTATTTACAATTGATTTCATCTGGTGCATATACATATAAAAAACCTTTATATAGTCATATTCATGAATATTGATGTTAACAATTCGATAAGCATATATAATGCATAAATTTACCATTTTTGTGACTGTACCTTTATACATTCTATTTAATTAACTCCCCATTGTCACTCCAGGATAACTAAATAAAGATTAGAAACCTTAACTATATACTTCAGTCCCCAAGTTATGAACAAGATAGGTTCTGTAGGTTTGTTCTTAAGGTGAATTTGTATGCAAGTTGGAACAGGTACATTTTTAACTGTAATGCCAGCCACACACACACACACACACACTTTGGATAGCATAGGGAAGGGTTAACGTCCCTGTGACGTTATCCTTCCCTATGGGCATAGCACAGCGGGTTAAACCTCTAAGCTGCAGAAAATCCACCGATCGAAAGGTTGGCGGTTCAAGCCCTGGTCGGGGTAAGTACCTGCTGTCAGCCCCAACTCCCTGCCCACCTAGCAGATTGAAAACAGAAATGTGAGTAGATAAATAGGTACTGCTTTAAGTGGGGCAGTAATAAATGGTGCCCATAAGGACATGCCGGCGATTTGACCAGGAGAATGTCTAAGGACAACAAAGCTCCTTGGCATGGAAGATGGTGTGACAGCCCCCCCCCCCAACCCGGTGTGATAGCCCCCCACCCCCAACCCGGTGACAGCCTCTAAATGCCAGAAATGGAAATGCCTTTACTTCTTGTTTATGTACTGTATGTCCTTGATAATTGTTTAATGGCATTGAATGTTTGCTGTATATGTGTTCTGTAATCCGCCCTGAGCCCCCTTAGGGAGATAGAGTGGAATATAAATAAAGTATATTATTATGTTTGTTTTGCTGTCGCTGAGATAATTGGATTTTGAAAAATGTGGCTTGTTGTGGAAACAAGGGCTGGTTATAATGCCTCAGTGGAGACACCTTTTCCCCATGATGACTCTTTCAGGAGTTAATTTCCCTTCAGATAGGTAGATTTCTCTCGCTTCCTGTTCTTAATTATGAGTTGTTTGCAAGTCGGATGTTTGTAACTCAAGGACTGCCTGTACTTTTCTTTATCTGACATTTTCCATTTATATTGATAACTTTTCAAACTCAAGCAGAAATATGAAAAGGAGGTTGTTTTAATTGTCAAAACCTATTAAGACCTAATCTTTTTTCCCCCAAATACAATAAAAATGGTGTCCAGTTGTTCTGGGAGTTCTATATAGATTTGTCTTTCAATATACCAATTATATTTGATAGTTTTGGGAAACCATTTCTTTTGTAAAGATTGGGTTATTAATGTAAAATCTGAAATAAATGGGCTATGATTAGATTGTGCAGGGAATCTGATATAAAGTGATAACTTGCGATTAATTCATGTCTGGGAGTAAGGATTGTTATCTTGACCCCCAAAGGGTTGCGAGTGGAAAAGTTTAAGATGCCCTGACTTAGACTTAGTGGCATCATTTTGTGTTGATTTTGATATTCTTCTGCTGCTAATTGTACCTGGGTTTATTGTTTGATCTCATAGCTATTAGTTTATGCAATTATTCAGGCCTTATTATTATTGTGTCTTATATATTTAACATGCGCATGGATGTGCTGGAATGGGCTAACTGCAGTTTGTGAATGAGTTTCATCATTCTGCTGATGATATCCAGTGCATTATTTCTCTCTCTTTGTCTCCCGCTCTCTTCTAGTATAAAGGAGGTTATAAAAGCCCTGAATTGTTCTTTGGAGTCTGTGAGGGGGGTGCTGTGTGTGACAATTCCTGGAAAAGCTTTAATGAAAAATGTTTTCTTTCAGAAAAGAAAGATGTGACACAGAGTCTAGAAAATTACACATCAAAATGCCCCGGAACAATGGAATTCATCACGCTTCCAGATGGTTTAAAGCTTCCCCCAGTTCCTTTCACAAAACTTCCCATTGTAAGGTAATTGTCTCTTATATATCAGTAACTTGGAACTTCTCAGGTTTCATTTTTTTGTATTGTGGCATCCAGCAAAATCAGTAGTGAACTTCACTGACTAGAGAAAAGAAATGAAAAAGAGGTTGGCCCTTCAAGTTTTCTTCATAGAATCATAGAATTGGAAGGAATCACAAAGGCAATCTAGTTTCATACAGTGAAGTCTCCCTCAAAAGATGGTCATCCAGCCTCTGCTTAAAAACTTCCAAAGAAGAATATGCCAGAGCCAATGACCTTCAGAGCCAATCTTTCCTTCAGAGCCAATCTTTCTTCTCTTTTGCAGCAACCTTGCCTCTTTGCCCTCATGCATATAAGCCAAGCCTTCCCATTAAAACCTAGTTCATCTTTGTCCTATCAGGATTGTTGGGAAATCTCAGCATTTTGACATCTCTTAGTTCATCAGATAATCTTTTCACTCCCCCTGAAGACGCAAGTTCGCAGCTTGGATATGATCCTGGATTCATCGCTGAGCTTGGAACCCCAAGTTTCGCCGGTGACCAGGGAAGCATTCGCACAGTTAAAACTTGTGTGCCAGCTGCGCCTGTACCTTGGGAAGCCTGACTTGGCCACGGTAGTCCACACTCTGGTTACATCCTGTATAGACTACTGCAATGCGCTCTACGTGGGGCAGCCTTTGAAGACTGTCCGGAAGCTTCAAATGGTCCAACGGACGGCAGCCAGATTGTTAACAGGAACAGCGCTCAGGGAGCATACAACTCCTCTGCTGCGCCAGCTCCACTGGCTGCCAGTCTGCTACTGGGCACAATTCAAAGTGCTGGTGTTAGCCTACAAAACCCTAAATGCTTCTGGCCCAATCTTTCTGTCTGAACGTATCTCCCCTTATGAACCATCTAGGACCTTAAGATCATCTGGGGAGGCCCTTATCTCGATCCTGCCTTCATCACAAATATGGTTGGTGGGGACGAGAGACAGAGCCTTCTCAGTGGTGGCCCCTTGGCTATGGAATACCCTCCCTAGGGAGATCAGATCAGCTCCCTCCCTCTTAACGTTTCGGAGACAAGTTAAAACATGGTTGTTTGAGCAAGCGTTCATAAATGCAGAGTAACTCATGTAGGAAGTCGAATGACTCCCTGTACGTTGCTCCAGTAAGCAACCTGACTGCTGTCCATTGGACCATTTGAAACTTCTGACTAGTCTTCAAAGGCAACCCTACGTAGAGCGTGTTGTGGTAATCTGTTCGGGATATAACCAGAGTGTGGACTATGGCCAAGTCTGACTTCCCAAGGTACAGGCGCAGCTCCCCTGGCCACCGCTGAGACCTGGGGTTCCAGGCTCAGCAATGAATCCAGGAGAACTCCCAAGCTGTGAACTTGAGTCTTCGCGGGAAGTGTAACCCCATCCAACACAGCCTGTGACCCTATTCCCTGTTTGGCCTTGCGACTGACCAGGAGTACCTCTGTCTTGTTTGCATTCAATCTTACCATGTTATTGGGACATATACTCAAGCCGTTTCCATCACCCATACTTTTATGGTTGGGATCCTTATCATGATTACAATTCGACGCATGGAGACCATGGTAGAGACAATAACTCCAGATATTGGTCCATAGCTTGCTCTCCTTCATCCGGATTTAGACATCTAAAGACTATACTTAATTGACCTTTGCTTCTGACAAGACTGTTGGCACATTCCTCTCTACCAGATGAAGATTCTTGATTGGGCCTCCAATCCAGCCTATCATTGTCATTCCAACTTGACTGCATCCTTCTTCATCTTGTTGGCAGTGCAAAGTCACTTTTACTCAATTCTATGGATTTCTGCTGCCATTTTCAATTTTTCATTCATTTTGATCAAAGAACCAGGATTTGATGTTTTGAATTCTTCATTTAGAAGTCAGTTTTGAGATTGTAGTTTAGAGGCAGTTCTGCTAACTTGCAGGCCTTTACTGTGCTGATCCCTTATTGATGGGTCAGGAAGTCAGGGTACTTCCACTTTGCAGGATCCTACTCTCTTGATACCTCCAATTATGGATAAAAAACACCATAGATTTACCCCTTCTAGTGCTACACTTTCTTTCTCCACAAATGGTTCCAAGCTTGTGCTTTGAATCAGCCACCTTCAGATGTGTCGAAAAAGAAAACTTAGGTTTCTGTGATATATCTTTTGAAAGTCAGAGAATCACTACCAACATAACAATAGATTTTCCATTCAGGAAATAAGTAATGAAACATAAGCAGTCAAGCGTTGTTGCTGAGCATGCATTTTCTTGGAGCACAGTAGACTATGCATCAGGACCAATATCCCAAGTTCAAGTAAGTGTCATTGATATAGTATTGGATCCAGATATAGCAATGCCTAGAGGAAAAAAACTCAAGTCAGGTCATGTTAAAATAGATCTGATTTATTTCTGTTGGTTCAAGTATGGATCAATGCTATGTTTATAATAACCTTGCTTGCTTGAAGGAAATTGTAAACTGCTTTTTGTGCATTTAACTTACTTGGAAATTGGAGTGTTGTTATGTTGTACCTTGTTTCCTTTTACACTGCAGGTATCATTTTAATTATCACTGTGAAGTAGAAATTTTCACTTGCTTACGGGCATCCTATCTAAAAACCATTGGTTTATTTAACAGATCTGTCAAGCTCTTAAACCTTCCAGTTAGCCTTCGGCCACAAAAAATGAAAAGCCTGCTGGGCCAGAATATGTCAACTAAAAGTCCTTTTATATATTCTCCAATCATTGCTCACAACCGTGGAGAGGAAAGAAGTAAAAAAATAGGTGAGATCATTATATCTCTTCCTTATTTTCTTTGGAATGCATCCTGTTTTTGTATGTGATATATATCATGATGACTGGCTTGTTGGCTTTCATTTTCCAATTGAATCTAATGGTTTTTGTCAGTTTTAGGATCAATATGCGATTCCCTCCTCTTGATTACAAAACTGATTTGATAACTTGATAAACTACTAAAAGTAGTTTACTTTTTATGGCATCAATAATAAGGGCTGCAGGAGTACCTAATAAAACATTTTCTTTTAGTACTTATGGAAAATTAAAGACCAAGTAGTTACTGATTTGCTGTGATCAGTAACATAATTCAGCATTTTTAGTTCAAAATGGAGCTATGTGGAAACCAACATTCTTTGATCATTCTTAATGCTTTGCTAAAGGCAAAAAGATTCTTTGTTGAATCTGAAGGCAATAAACACAAGTGATGATAATGCAAGAAAGAAAATTATTTACAAAAGCAGGCATGATAGAAGCACAGAAAAGAAAGACTCAGCAAACAAGTGTTCCACTTTCTGTTGCTGGGAACCCTTTGAATCAGCAACAAGGATGACCTCAGTGGTTATGCAGCACTGTATCTAGATCTCAGTCTCCATTGACATATCAATTAAACAATCAATTACACAATTCAATAAAAATACAGTATAACATCTTAAGAGTAAAAATTTAATCCCAACCAAAGTGGGCTGATGGAATAAGCAACCACAAGCAGCAGGCAACAAGCAAGGTGGGGGAACCCTGAAAATGAGCACAAGCAACAGGTGATCCAATATCTGGATGATGGGCGGCATGGCCATTAAAGTAGCCGCACGGCCACACAATGGGGGCCATGTTATCTCCTTGGAGCCTCCTGGATCATCTGGCTGGAATGAGGGTATGGCTGCAGGTCTCCTTATGGGTAAGCCCAGGGCTGAGCAGGCAGCAAAGCTGGATGGCAAATACTCAGGCCCCAGGGTCTCCCCTGCAGAAGGGCCCAACAAAGCTCCATATACAGTTTTTTATACCTTATGTGTTGCTCAGAATATTTTTCTAATTAATTCCATCTGTTTTGACTGGTATTCTGACATGTCAAATACCTCCCTATAATTGTATAAGATAATAGAAGGGGAGTAAAAGTCAACCATCTGACCTTTACTCCCACATGTCAAGGCTCCCAATCAGTACTTAACCTTGAATGAAAAAACAATGTGCTCTTAAAAGAGAACTTCACCCCTTTAGGGCTTTTAGAGGGCACAGAAAGGGAAAAAATATACATGAAAAAGTGATGCTACTATGTATACCACCTAGTTTGCCTCCTTGAGATGACAACATTCTTCCGCAATGTTTCCACTTCATTAAACTTAAGAAAAACCCAAAAGACTATACTAATCCAGGAAGAAATGGATGCAGTGAGGGGATAAAAGTGAAAACAGAGAGAAGACTGAAAAACAGCCAGAGAACACGTATCCCAGGATTAAGTATGGTATGAGATCCTCACAAATTTTGTTGAATTCTCATTACTTTCTTTTACCTCATCACGAAGACATTTTCTGTTTTTCTCTATACGAAGGCCTTGTCACCACAGCAACCATTTACCATTTACCTTATCCAAAAACCCCAGCTTATAAATCTCCATCTTTTCTTCTCTCTCTCTCTCTCTCTCTCCTAGTTCATCTTTGCAAAGCTATCTTTGCAAATTCAAGATAGCTTGCAGAATAGATTAAAAGAAAGTACAGGTAAAAAACAATTCTTATACAAGAAAAATTAAATCAGCTCATTATAGCAGCACTAAAAACATCTTTAAAAGCATTGAAAAACATAGACATGGCAACGATTTTAAATGTTTGAAAGAATGTCATTTGAAAGATGGAGCAAGCTTGTTTCCTTCTTCTCCTGTGACTAGGCTATGGAGCAATGGATTCATATTACAGGACAAACATTAGGAAGAGCTTCCTGACAGTCAGAGGTGTTTTACTGGAATAGCCTGCCTTGGAGTGGCAAAGTGTCCTTCTCTGGAGGTTTCTAAACAGAGATTGGGGCTCTGTCTGCCTTTGTTATAGCATGGAGTTGGACTTGGATGGCCCTTGGGATCTCTTCCAGTTCTATGATTCCATGAAATGTAACTATGAGAGTAAAAAAAGTACAGCAAACAGACCCCCTTTAAAAGACTCTTCCACAACAGCTAGGTCAACATCAAAGACTGGCCTGTCCATAGGTAGACAGAGTTGAAAGGGTACCTGTTTAGCCCCCTATTGAAGAGACTTCAACATCCTGGAAGAAGACAGGAATCTTTGATGTATCCTCATCAAATACACTTGTGGCAGCTGTGTGAACAAGAGAAAGTATTGCTTGGGGAATCTTAAAACTCAGGAAGGTTTGAATAGGGAGATAAAACATTTTAGATAATCTGGACCTAAGCTGTGGAGGTCTTTATAGTTCATAACCAGCCATGCATGGAAATATGCCTGTAGTCATAAAGCTGTTGCACAAGGGAGCTCTTTGTTCTTTGTAACAAGCCCTGGTCATCAGCCCAGTTGCAGCATTTTGGACCCACTGACATTTCCAAACAGCTGGCAAAGATAGCCTTACATAGAGTGCAGTGCAACTGGGTATAAGTAACCAGATCTGACCATCAAGAACAGTTGCAGCTGGTGACTGTGCAAATTCACCCCTAGCCATCACTGAAACCTGGGCATCTAGGCAGGGCGATAAGTTCAGGAGTCTAGGTGAGCTGCAATTCTGAGATTTCAGGGGGAGTGTAACCCCATCCCACACAGGGTGAACCCTTCCCTGATTCGTCTTTCAAATGACCAGAAACACTTCTGTCTTGTCTGGATTAAGCTTCAATTTGCTTACCCTCATCCAGTCCATTAGTGACAGCAGATGCTGGTTTAGGTCTCTAATAATCTCCTCATAATTAGATAGAAGGAGGAATGAAGTCAGCAGTGCTATATAGGTACCATTTTGTTTTTTCTAATTCTGTAAATCTACAGTTCTGTTTCCCAGTACTTTGGACCTGTTGCACTCCAGGCCTGGAAACATCTATGACCACTGCACCACAGAAGAGTCCGGAAATATAAGCAAATGGTTTATTGTAAAACACATAAAAAGCATATAAAAGCAGGAAAACGAAATGAAGATATATACTCCACAAAGGTTTAGCAACAGGTGATAACCAAACAATAATCCAAATGTCTCATAAAGTTCCATAGGTGACAACATTCAAGAATAGCCAGAAATTACAGGCACAGCATAAGTCTATAAGCAAAAATGTATAACTAGTAAAACTTGAACAGGAGTAGATGAACTGGAACATAGAAACTCCTAGGATTAAAATCCAGAACCAAGGCTTGACTTGAACCAAGAACAGTCTTCTCACTCTAACGCTGTGTTGCCTGACCTGCCTTTAAGGTAAACAACTTGTTGTTTAATAGACACCCATGAAAGCATTATGTCTTCCGTGAATTTTCTCCACAACTTTCTCATGTAATCTCTCAGCCCGGAGTAATCTATTTTTGGCTTTGATTTGTAAACAAAGACTTTTGTTGATCTCCATAGCTACAGGTGGTTTCTCCTGGGAACCCTCCTTATCACTCAGCTATTTGCTGGATTCCTTATCTGTTGTTATTTCTTTGGCTCCTTGGACTGACCTTAAGCCCTTTGGTTTCCGAGTCAGTTTTCACACAGAGACATCATTTCCAAGATCTTAATTTCCCAGACTTGAGCCACAGGAAAGTCCACAATCCTTTAAATCATCAGTTAAACCACCAGCCTCTGGCTAATCTACAACAGGACCTTCAAAATAGGGCTTAATTGCTCAGCAGGGCCTCTCTTCAAACTGGAGATGCCTGAAAGAAAACTGATAACTATACTTCAATTAAGGTTTTACATTGTTTGTCCTGTAAAACTGCCCCTGGGAGGCCTTGCCTGGAAAGCAGTACAGATAATAATTTTAAATGAATAAGTAAGATAATAAAAAGCTTTAGAATCATTGTGTTGAAATTTGATTTATTCCCTGTCATATAAAATCATAGATGTGTATTCAAGACTGGGCTGCATTAAAAAAAAAAACCTGTTTAAGATCTTTCTGATCTCAGCCCTTATTTGATTATCACATCTCCTCTCAGTATATAAGCAACATCAGGCTGTAATTGTTAATTTTCATTTTGAAAAGGGGATCCAATCCCTAATAAAAAGATCTTCAGAGCAAGATGTTTTGCTGGCCAGTCTGTTAGAATTTGACATATACTTTTACTCCCATCACCTGATGCTTCTGCCTTATCATTATGAGTTGCATCACAATTTTAGCTGAGCAGCCTTGGGAATAAACATTTT